TGGGGGGGGGGGGGCAAGGCTGCAGCACATTCAACTCCTCGCCTCCCCTCCTTACAGGTTTCTGAAGGGACACACCCTTACACAGGGACTTTGCCTTGTGAATGTAAATGTTTCTTGCAAAAGGGTATCAGCACACCTGAGCACACCCCTATTTGTACTTGTTTTAAATTGAATTGTAAGTGTTCTTTATATTGGATGTGAGTCTCTTATCAGATCTATGATTTCCCAGTGTTTTCTCCCATACTGTGGGTTGATCTTTCACTTCCTTCTTGGTGTTCTTTGAAACACAAAGTTTTTAATTTTGATGAAATCCTATTTATCTATTTTCTTATTGTTGCTCAGGCTTTTCGTGTCACAAGTAAGAAACTACTGCCTAACCCAAGATCATGAACAATAGAGTACCTGTTTTGTTTTGTTTTGTTTTGTTTTTTGAAATTATTTTGTCATTTAACAAGGTATTTGCTGTGGGGGCACCCGGCTGGCTCAGTCAGAAGAGCATAGGGTCATGAGCTCAAGCCCCGTGTTAGGCGTGGAGATGACTTAAAAATAAAATCTTAAAAAAATAGGGGCACCTGGGTGGCTCAGTCTCAGTTAAGCCCCCGACTCTTGGTTTTGGCTCAGGTCATGATTTGTGAGTTCAAGCCCCACACCGGGCTCTGCACTGACAGCTCAGAGCCTGCTTGGGATTCTCTCTCTCCCTCTCTCTGCCCCTCCTCTGCTAGTGCTCTCTCTCTCTCGCTCTCTCTCTCTCAAAATAAGTAAATAAATTTAAAAAGTTTTTAATAAATAATCTTAAAAAATTAAAAAAGTATTTGTTGTAAAGCATGGGGAACCTCAGGATGGGTTTTCCAGACAAAATACAGGACAGCCAGTTAGTGTGAATTTCAGATAAACAGCGAATGTTCTTGCACAGCCACGTCCATATGTTGCACGGGATACTTACATTTAGAAATTACTGGCTCTCCACCTGAAATCCACACTTAACTGCCATCCAGGTATTTTTATTTGCTAAATCTGGCAGCCCACCCCAGCCCAAGGCACACATCCCACCTGTTCACAGGGATCCCCACCGCCTCCCTTAACGCTTTGTTTCTTTTCCGTATTGTGGTAAGATGCACATAACATAAAGCGAGTATTTTAACCTCTACAGAGCACGCACTTATCTGTTCTGTCATCACACTGCGAGAGGCTGAGGAAACAGAGGCGGGGCCCAGCCCAACCCTCGCAGGCCCCGCCCCCGTTTCCTAGCAACGCAACCACGCCCCTAGCCCGTGGGGCGTGGCCGCCAGGGTCACGTGGCACCGCTGCAGGCTCCCGCTCGGGCCGACGCGTGCGTATGTGCGTCCGCGCGCATGCGCAGGGGGCGGCTGGCGTGCCGTGCGCGCCCCCGCCCCGCCCCGCCCCGCGACGTTTCCCTGCGCGCGCGCGCCCGGCCCCTCCCGGTTCTTATAGTGCCGCGGGCGGCGGTTGGTGGCGGGGACGGCACGGACGGGGGCGATATGGCGGTGCGGCAGCTCGTGGTCCTGGCGCTGGCGCTGCTGAGCGCCGAGGGCGGCTCGGGAGCAGGTGAGGGTCCTGCCCGGCGCGGGTGGAGGCTCAGCCGCGGCAGCGGGGGCCCGCCAGGCGGCCCTGCAGGTGGAGTCCCTAAACCCCGGCGGCCGGGGAACGCGAGGGGTCCGAGGGCTGGCCTGACCCCTAGGTGAGGGGGACCTGGGATGGGGTCTGGAGGCGGAGCCCCGCCCTTCCGCCGTCCCCGCGTCCGGCGGCGGAGGCCCGGGCCGGAGTCCAGGAGCGGCCCCCTCTCAACCGGCGGGGTCCCCGCCCGCGGCGTGCCAGTGCCACCGCGGGGTGCATTGGCGCGGCCCCGGGATCCCGCGAGCCCTGGCAAGCCTGTGCGGCCTGGAGCGGTGGCCGCCTCCACAGGCCCTCACGTGGACGCTGGAACCAAGGACTGAGGAATGCCCGCCCCTGAAGCCGGTGGGCTGTCTGGCACAGGAAGGGATTGTCATTCTTCCCAGGATTTAGGTCCCATGTCTCGCTCTGGGTAGGCACCTGCCCCCTGGTGTTTGCCCAAACCCTGAAACCTCCGGCAGGAAGCCAGCACGCTCTGCTTCCTTTGGTTTTGTCTGATTCCAGGCCACAGAGTGAGGTGGCAGCTGGTCCACCCTCCTCCTTTAACAGGAGTGGAAACTGAGGCCCAGGGCTGGAGGGGACGTGTTCCAAGGTCACCGTGAGGTCGCTTTGGCAGCCCAGTTCTGGGCAGGATGTGTTGAGAGGGTGTTTTTAACGGAGTCCCAAACAGCACTTATTTCTGGGAGGTCTGCACCGTGTAGAGAACGCTCAGGGGAAAATGGATCAAAGCGAATTTTTCAGGGGAAAGCGGGACAGCCTCTCTTTTGCCTGATAGAAATTTTCTTCCTTGATCGAGACTTCCCGTTTTGTTTTGGGTTAAAGATTTATAGTGATGGGCATGTAGGGAACAAAGTGCAGAGAAGGGTCTGGGGAGGCAGGAGTGCAGGGTCACAGTGTCTGCTGGGGGTGGGGGGCAGGAGGAGCTGCCTCTTGTGGGAGCTTTACCCACTTACTCCTGACCCACTTCAGGAGCTCAATTGGCCTCTTTCCTCTTCCTTATGATCAGAACGGCTGTTCATTGAACGCCTCTGGGCAAGGGCCTTGGCGCCTGGCGTGGCCATGGCTCACTGCCCGCCAGCGGGTCCCTGGCCGCTGGAGCCCTTCAGGAATAGCTCTCCCTGGCGGGAGGTGGCCACGGACGGCCCCGGGGACGGCGGCGGGCGGGGGGGGGGGGCGGTAAGGAAGTCTCTGCGTTTGCTCCTCCCGTCAGGGGGAAGCCCTGGGTTAGCGCCTTTTCACCTGTTTCCTGGGACCAGGCACCAGAGCTGTAGCTGGAAGCCCTGCGTCTCACGTAGGGTGTGTGTGCTGGGGAGTCTGTCTAGGTGTGTCTGTGCCGTGTCTGAATCCACCTGGGACCTTTTTACTTTGTCACCTTTCCTGGGGACCCTCACAAATACCACGCGTCCCTTTTCTGCTGGGACGTGTGAATTAGTGACCGTGTTCACCCCTCGTGGCTGGATCAGCTAGCTCCCCAGAAACTTGTTTCAGGAGCTCTGCCAGGGGGACCCCTGCTCTCCCTGGGACTGTCCAGGGCCCCGCTGTCCTGATGCACCAGGTTGGGAGGGCACACATGGGCACCAGGTTGCTAGCTGGGTCCTGCGGGCTGGTGATTTGGCCCGAGCCTCAGGTGAAGGGAGCAGGAGCGGCCTCCTGGCCAGATGGAGGGGAGGGGAGGGTGGAGAGGCCCAGAACCCACGCCTGGCATCCCAGAAATGTTCTCTTGCTCCTCCTACCTGAGTAGAGCTGCTGAGTTGGGTGGGGAGGAGGGTGGGTGCCGGGAGCCTCAGTCTCATCCCGAGCTCGTGGGCTGTTTCCCATAAGGCCTGCCTGGCCCTGTGCCCTGCCCAGCAGCCTGAGGTCAGGGAGGAGGGGTGGCTGTTTTTAGATGAAGGTGACTTTACTTGAGAACGTGGGTCACAGTCACATGGCCAAAATGGGGGGGGGGTCAAATGTTCTCCCTTGTTCCTCCTTCCTGTCCCTGTGGCCCTTAGGGTCCCTGTGAATTCCACGGGTGCCCTCCCCCCTCAATCCGCTGGGCCAGGTGGGGCGTGTCTCAGTTCCCTGCTGTGTGCTACCCTCAGGTCAGGGCAGGGGTGTCAGCCTGTGGTTCCTCGGAGGAGGGAGGCAGGGTGGGGGAAGCTGTGCCCCGGCCTTCACTGCTCCTGCTGGTGGAAGTGGCCCTCAGGCCTGTGGCCTTTGGGCGACTTCTTTCTCTCCCAGGGAGGCAGGGCGCGGCTGGGTAAGATCGGACTGACCTTTCTAGCAGCCTCTGGGTGAGGGGACAAGGGCACAGACGAGTCTAGGAGGAGAGTATTCTCTGGCTTCACTTCCTGCCCTGACTCACCCTCCCGGCTCTGCACCGGCTGTTGGGTTTTGCAATCTTGGGAAATCTTGACTCCTGAGAAATGTGGGTTGCCAGGAGGTGATCCTTCTGAAGAGACAGCACAGCCACAGAGGGCTCAGGGCAGCCACAGAGCCCCAGCTTCACCCTTCTGCCTGCTTGGGATTGTGCCTGTTTTGAGTCCTGTGAATGGGCTTTGGGCCACCCCAGGGGCAGGCATGAAGGTCCACCTTGCCCCAGAGCGGTAGCCCGCGCCCTCCGATACGGAATTGAAGCCGTGAGTGTGTGCACGCACGTGTCCCTGTGTGTGCTTTGGGTGTGTGTCTGCACACACGTGTATACGTCTGTACTCACGTGTCGTGTGTATGTGTCTGAACCCATGTGTCCACGCGTGCATACACGTGCTGTGTGTGTGTGTGCACGCCCGTGGCCACCCCCGTGTGTGTGCACGCGTGCGTGTGTGTGTGGTGCTGTGTTCGTGTGCTGCGTGTGTGTGCACACGCCAAGGGTGGGTAGTGCCTAGGGCAGCAGAGAGGAGCCTCCCTGTAGCTCCTGTCTGGCTGCTGCTGAGCTGTCTGCCCCTTCCCCTGCCCGTCTAGAGTCCTGGGACCTTGTGTCCTGCCCTCCACTGGCCTCAGGTCCTGCCTCTTCCACACAAAGAGGCCACCGCTCCCCAGACTGGAAGTGCCTGCCTGTGGCCAGTCTGTAGCAGGACAGGGGAGGGGAGGATTCAGTGATCTCTCTCCAGTAAAGCTCGCCTGCTGCCCTTTGGGTCAGGTTAAATTTTCTTAATGACCGACCCGGTCTCTGGACGGGAGAGCCTGCTTCTTGTCGCTTCTTACTTCACACTGTGGCTTTTTAAATACAGGCTCACATTCCGGTTTTTCACCCAGTTTTGTGCTGTAGGCGTCTCCCTGCAGACTGGATGGAAAAGAAGCTTATTGCCAATAGCCCCGGGATGGATCTCTGTGCCCACATCATCTGGGCGTGGTCTTCTAGAAGGGACGCCTCTGGGGCATATGTCACCGGGGAGGCGAGCTGGGGACAATGTGGAATTCCAGGATGATGGCACCAGAGCGTCCCTGTGACACCTGCTCTGAGCCCCGGGATGGGGCTCTGACGTGCACAAGGATGGGTCTGCTGCTTCACCGATGCCCAGCGTCTGGTGTGGAGGGAAGTGGGGGGGGGCCCTCCTGGTTCATTCCCATAGCTCCATGCCCCTCACCTTCGACGCTGGGTCCCCTTGAGCGCCTGACAGTCTCTCTCCCTGAACTCTGGTCCCTGGAGGGCAGCCCTCCCTGGCTCAAGCCTCCTTGCCTCAGCAGGCTTCTTACCGTCTGGTTCTAAGTGATTTTTTTTTTTTTTAATGTTTTTATTATTTATTTTTAAGACAGAGTGTGAGTGGGGGAGGGGCAGAGAGAGGAAGACACAGAATCGGAAGCAGGCTCCAGGCTCTGAGCTGTCAGCACAGAGCCCGACGTGGGGCTGGAACTCACGGACTGTGAGATCATGAGCCGAGCTGAAGTCGGACGCCTAACCGACTGAGCCACCCAGGCGCCCCTGGTTCTAAGTGATTTTCGATTCCTAAAGAGAACGTCTCAAGCCAGTGGGGAGGTTTGCCTAGTTGGAAATTGAACAGAAGGGCCAGGCCCTGGGAGTCCACCAGCAGTGCCTTGGTTGTCCCTACAGAGAGGCTTAGTGGCAAGTGGGGGTGCGCTCTTGACCTTCCTGAAGAAGGTGCCGTCCAGGACGGGGCAGCTGGAGCCAGCAGGCCCTGCCCCGGTGGGAGGTACCCACCTCGGATGGCCCTGCCTTGATGGGAGGAGGGGTGGGGGGTTCTGCAGGGGCCTCCAGGGAATGGCGGCTGGGACTGTGCTAGATTCACTTGTTTATTTATTTGTTTGTTTATTTTTGAGAGAGTATGTGAGCAGGGGAGGGGCAGAGGGAGAAGAACTTTTTTTTTTTTTTTTATGTTTATTTTGAGAGAGAGAAAATCCCAAGCAGGCTCTGCTCTGTCAGCACAGAGCCCGACATGGGGCTCGAACTCCTCTGAGCTGTGCAAGTATGACCTCAGGCAAAATCAGAAGTCAGACGCTTACCTGACTGAATCACCCAGGTACCCCCAGTAGATTTATCTTTTTTTTTCTTTCAATTTTTTTTTCTTGATGTTTACTTATCCTGAGAGTGAGAGCACGAGCAGGGGAGGGGCAGAAAGAGGGAAAGAGAGAATCCCAAGTAGGTCTGTGTTGTCAGCGCAGACTCCTGTGTGCTGTTTCATTTCCCCAACTGTGAGACCTGAGCTGAAACCAAAAGTCAGAGGCTTAACTGACTGAGCCACCCAGGCGCCCTTAGATTTATCTTTTTTTTTTTTTTAACTTTTTATTTTTTTTTTTTTTTTTAACATTTACTCATTATTGAGAGACAGACACAGGATGTGAGCAGGGCAGGGGTAGAGAGAGAGGGAGACACAGAATCTGAAGCAAGTTCCAGGCTCCAGGCTGTCAGCACAGAGCCCGACGCGGGGCTCGAACTCCTGAACCGTGAGATCATGACCTGAGTCGAAGTCAGTCGCCCAACCGATGGAGCCACCCAGGTACCCCAGATTTATCTTTTAAAAGCGGAATTTCGGAGGTGCCTGGGGGGGCTCAGTTAGGGTTAGGGTTAGGGTTAGGTTTCAGCTCAGGTCATGATCTCGCGGTGTATGAGTTCAAGCCCCGCATCAGGCTCCGTGCTGACAGTGTGGAGCCTGCTTGGGATATTCTCTCTCTCTCTCTCTCTCTCTCTCTCTCTCTCTCTCTCTCTCTGCCCCTCCCCCACTCACTCTGTCTCTCTCTCAAAAATAAATAAATAAAACTTAAAAAAAATTAGAAAATAAAAAAAAGAGTCCAACTTCAGCTCAGGTCATGGTCTCACAGCTCATGAGTTCGAGCCCCGCGTCGGGCTCTGCGCTGACAGCTCGAAGCCTGGATCCTGCTTCTCATTCTGTGTCTCCCTCTCTCTCTGCCCCTCCCCCACTCACAGTCTGTCTGTCTTTCTCAAAAATAAATAAACATTAAAAAAAACTTTTTTACTACAAAAGGACTTTCAGGTCTGTGCTGGGCTGGACCCAGCAGTCCATGTCTTGGCCAGGTTCTGGGGCCCAGGGTGGTTATTGGCTTTTGTTTCCAACACCTGAGGCCCAGCTGGTTAGAATGTTTCCCGACAGAACCTTCATCAAGCCCTCTTCTCTGCAGCAGTAGCTCTGCAGACCCCAGGCTCCTTTAACTCCACAGAAGGTGTCCTTCCAGAAGGAGCCAGGTGTGATTCAGGACTCCTCTCCTCTGGGCCGGCTCAGGACAGTGTGGATGGCCTGGGGTGTCTGGGCCATTGCACGCTTGCCACAGGGAAAGGTGGGCAGGTGGTTCAGGGTCCTGGGTTTGGGTCCTTTCTTTCCCTTACCTTTTGCCAATGTTCTCTCCTGTGGCCACCTAGGGAGTGGGATCTGGACATCTGTAGACGATGCTGGCTCCAAAACACGCCTTACCTGTGCCTTGAACCACAGCACCACTGAGATCGTCGGCCACCGCTGGGTGAAGGCGGGCAAGGTGCTGAAGGAAGACGCGCTGCCCGACCTGAAGACAGAGTATGAGTGAGTGGGGCCTGCCTCAGGGCCCGCAAACACACCGGGCCCCATCTCAGCCTGCAGGCGTCACCCCCAGGCCCCTTCCTGCCCCTGCTCCCACACCGTGCTGCTGCTCACGGCCTCTCTGGTCAATCAGAACTGGGGTTGTAGTCGGCGGGCCTGCTTTGGACAGACGTTAGACACAAGCTCTGCTCAGATCCCTCAGTGTGAGAAGCCCAGGCTTCTGGGGTCTGAGATGGCCAAGGCCTGGCATCCAGCGAGGGTCCCCTGGCTGCTGAATGTAAGGCTGGACTCCAAGACCCTTCCCTTCTTTCTCCGGGGTGCCGGCTGAGGAGGGCAGGCAGACCTGGGGTCTCCCAGCCCGGAATCCCCAAGCACCTGGCTCCCTGAGGTCTTGGGGCCTCTGTGCCACCCTGCTCTGAAGCCTGGTCTTAGTCGATGCCTGAGCCAGCTCCAGAACCAGAGTCTGGTTTCAGGGGTGACTGGGCACAGGGGCTCATCGATGCAGGCGCCGGGTCAGTCAGTTGGGGGGACCGGTTCCATCTGCCACCCATGCCTCCTCGTCTCTCTCTGATGGGAAGTGGGCAGCCTGTGCCCTCGTGCCCTGCAGGGACTCCCGAGTGTGGCCTGGCTCTGGCCCCCGGTGGGAGTCCCCTGCTGCTCGCAGAGGTTTGAACTTCACCGAGGACAGGATGGCGTCCGTCCCCACCACGAGCCCCGCTCATTGCTGCGCGTCTGTTTGCAGGGTGGACCTGGATGACCGCTCCGGTGAGTACTGGTGCGTCTTCCTCCCAGAGCAAGCAGGCAAGACCAGCATCGAGGTGAAGGGTGAGCTCTGGGGGCCCTCGGGGGCATCTGGGGCGGGGGTGGGGGCCAGAAGGACCCCCAGAGAGGTACAGCTCCTCCTCCAGGGTCATGGGCTCAGGCTCCTGCCTTGCTCGGTTACCCCTGTAGGGCTCCCCAACATCAAGGCCGTGAAGAAGTCCGAGCACGCCACCGAGAGGGAGTCGGTCGTGCTAGGCTGCAAGTCTGACTCCTTCCCCCCGGTCAGCGACTGGGTGTGGTACAAGATGGAAAGCTCTGGTGACCAGGTGAGGCCCACGCCTGCCGGGGGAAGAGCTGGCCTCCGCCTCGGCCCCGGCCCCGGCCCCTACAAAGTCCGCCCACCCCCAGGTCATCAGCAACAGCTCCCAGAACAAATTCTTCGTGGTGTCCTCGGAGACGAAGACGGAGCTGCACATCTTGAGCCTGGACCTGGAGACGGACCCCGGCAGGTACGCCTGTAACGGCACCAACTCGGAGGGCACCAGCCAGGCTGTTGTCACGCTGCGCGTGCGAAACCGCTTTGCCGCCCTCTGGCCGTTCCTGGGCATCGTGGCCGAGGTGCTGGTGCTGGTCACTGTGATCTTCATCTATGAGAAGCGACGGAAGCCGGACGAGGTCCTGGACGGTGAGCCCACAGGCCCTTTGCTCGCTGTGCAGGGGGGGTGGGGGGTGGGGGCAGGCCACTGTCCGGGAGTGCGGGACAGAGGAGGGCGCTGTGGGGTCAAACGGGTCCCCGGCTGGAGGTCTGCTCGCCTGTTGCCTGGTCTGCCCCGCTGTCCTCCCTCACTCGGCTGCAGGTGGGTGACCTCCGAGGGGAGTGGCTGTCCTCTTGGCTGCTCTGCCCCCGCCCATGGCGGCTGCTGAGGGCCCAAGGGTTGTAGGCACCAAGCATGCTCTTGACTTTGCACGTGACAGAGCTCAGGAAACCTGAACTTGGCCCCTGCCTGGCTCCTGCGGGCCGAGTTCGTGGGGAGCGGGCAGGGCTCCCAGGCACCCCTCGGGCCATGACCCCAGACAGCTCATTTTGAGGATGCGTGTGCCGGCAGCCGGGCCGGTTGCCTGCACTTACCAGTCAGGGAAACTGAGGGCAGGGCCCAGCAGGACCGGTGCCAGCCCACGAGGGGCTTTGTCCTGGGACACTTCCTGATGGCCTGTCCTCTCTCTACATGTGGCCGCGCGTCTGCACAGATGAGGACACCGGCTCCGCTCCTCTGTAAGTCGTGGCCTTGCTGGGCTAGCAGGCAGGCAGCGTTCCCCGGGCAGAGCCTGGAGGGGCTGCTGGCCTGGATAGCCTGCACCCTGCACGTGGTGGGTGGGAGCAGGGACACCGTCGTGTCTTCCCGAGCGTCCGTCAGCCTTCCGTCCCTCCCCAGGAAGAGCAGCGGGCACATCAACGACAAAGGCAAGAACGTTCGCCAGAGGAACGCCAACTGAGGTGAGGAGGGGCGGGGGGGGGGGAGGGGAGGGCGGACTACCCCTCCCCACCCGCCCCACCTCACCCCCCCAGCTTCGGGCCGCTGTCTGAGCGTCTGTCCTGCCCCCACACAGGCCTCCAGCCTCTGTCCGGAGCAGCTCAGTGTCTGCTGTTCGCAGAGTCCACGTTCTTTCCTCTTAAAGGAGACCCGCCCCACGAAAGCAGACCACAGTGTGGGTCAGCTCACGTTTCTTTCCTTTTTAAAACTAAACTAGGGTTTTCTACATGTAGAATTCTATTCTTTAGGAGTTTTGGTTTTCCTTTGTAAATATTTTGTGAGCGCCTTGAGGAAGCCCTGAGATTACTGGTGCCCTCTGCCCATCCCCTCGCTGCCCACTTGTCCCCTCGCTGTCCTCCCCCCCCCCGACACACGCAGACACCTGTCCCTCCCGTCCCCCCAGCCCATCCCCTCGGCATCCCACCCCATCTTGGGGGTCATGAAGGGCAGACTGGCCTTCTTGTGGGGCTCTACCTCCTGAGGCTGCTGGGCCTCGTTGGGGCCCTTTGCAGAAAGTCACGGGTTGTGCGGTGGGAGCATATCGTGCCTGCCTGTCTGTCTGAGGTCTGTGCTGCCGGGTCGCCTCCAGTCTGTGTTGTGTGTGGGGACAGCTCGAGGCAGGCGGGGCCCCCGACATCCCCGCCTGGCTGTGGAGGAGTGGTGTGGTGGCCATCCCGCCAGAGCTGCGTCCTGACCTGCCCGCCACCTGCCTGCTCACCAATAAAGGCTGACCCGTGTCCGTCTTTCCAGGCTCCTGTGTGCGCCGGCCCAGGGTCTCAGCAGGAGAACCAGGGCGGGGGGGGGGGGGGGGCGGAGGGGCCGGGCCTGTGGCAGGTCTGGGAATGGGGGGGGGCTCACCAGCTGGTTCCCTCCACACAGCAGCCCTTCCCTCTGAGTTTGTTTCTTGCCGTCAAAGAGGACCGGACAGGGGCACCTGGGAATCCTTCCCACGGGCCCCCCAGGACAGAACAGACAACCCCCACCCACAGCTGCCTGGCACCCACCTGCCCTGGGCAGGAAGCTCCCTGTGGTTTGAGTGGGAGGTGAGGGGGTGGGGGGTGGGGCAGGCCCTCCTGATGGATCCCGGCAGGTGTCCGTAGTGGAGCCAGCCCCTTGGGACTTTGTCCAGCTGAAGGGGGGCCACTGAGGCCTAGAAAGCCCCAAAGGGCAGTGCTGTGGTAGGGAGGTGGCCCTTCTGAGCCGGCCCCCAGGAGAAAGGGAGTCCCTGTTTGCACAGCCCAGCCTGACAACTGCAACAAACATGGGTGGGGCTGAGGGTCTGGGGAACACTCCATGGGAGCAGATCACAGGAGGTAGGGCCTCATGAGCTTCGTCCTCGCCAAACCTGGGGGCTCTGGCCCGTGCCATGTAGGCCTCCTGCTTGGTACAGAGGAGGAGTGACCCCGCAGCCACTCCTAGGGAGTGTGGTCATCTCATACCTCCCCTCTGGGGTCAGGAGGAACCGGAGGCCAAGGAGCCCTGAGCCAGCTATTCCCAAGTGTCCGTAGCAGCCAGAAATTGGGGCTTGCATGTGAAATTCTTAATTTTCAATGTGGGCAAAAACTCCAGCGTAATGACGCCCGCGAGGTCAAGCCTGGCCCGCGAACTGCCAGTTTGAGACTCCAGGCTCTGAAATGGAGCTGACCGGGGTGCCCCCACCCCCGCTGAGCTCTGGCGGCCACACTGTCAGCTGCAAGTATTCCCTGGGCTTCTGTGGGCAGAACGGGTGTCCGTGATACAGCCCCCTCCCACCCCCAGGTCACCGGGAAGAGCTGAACCCAGCCGCTGGGCTGGGGGAGCTGCGGACCCGGCCTTCCCCCTGGCCGTCACCAGAGGGCGCTACGCACTTGCCGTGGAGCAGGCTCTAGGGGCCAGCGGAGCCCCTCCTCTACAGAGGGCTCTTGGGGCTGCACCAGCCTGGCCCTGGACACAGCTGGCCCAACCTCCCTGCACCCTGGGGTTCCTTGGGGGCACCCACCACTCACACTTTGTGGAGATCACGAAGCAACACTGGCTGGGCACCCGTGTCGTGGCTGGGCTGTGGCGGGGGAGGAGGTGATGACGAGCTGGCCCCTCGCTGGGGAAGCTGCCGGGGCTCAGGTGCAGCCTCCCTCGTCGCCCGAAGTCAGAAGGCACACGTGCGCACTGGGTTGCTGGGGCTCTGTGTCCCCTGGGAGGCCAGGGCCCTGTCCATCTGCTTCCTGCTGCGCTCTGCACTGGGTCCAGACGGGACGTACGGGAGCTTCTGGCCGGCAGAGCCTGGGGCAGAAGCGGGCCTTCCTGGAGCGTGGGGGGTGCTGTGGCGAGGCGAGCGAGGCTCGGCCTCCTTAGCAGCCCTCTCTGGTCCTCCTAGCCCAAAAGACCCTCCCCTCACAGATGCCCCTCACTTGGACGCGTAATTAGCCAAATTGGGACCACTCACAAGCAGCTTTGTAAGCTTTCTTTGTAAGTACTTAAGTATCCATCCCTCCATCTGTAAGCGTTTAATGAGCACGGCAGTGTGCGCTCTGTGCCGCTGGGGGGCGTTCTTGTTAACAGCCTGCTGGAGCCTGCCTCAGTTTCCCCAGAGTGGGGTGAAGAAGTGACAGCAGCCAAGTCTCAAGAGTCCATGGGTTCATATTTGGCAAGTGCTAGGAGGCTCAGGAACCGGTGTCTCGGGGTCCCAATCTGGGAGGGCAGAAGGGCAGAGGGCTGGGGTGTCCATTAGACGAAACGGCACGTTGCCGGTGCTCTTTGGAAGTACCCCACGGGCATCCCTGGGCCCACAGAGGAGGCTATGCATCCTCTCCTTGGGACACCCCACCCAGAGCACCGCAAGGTGCGGGCACCCCAAGGTCTCACACCGGTTGGCAGCAAGGGAGGGATTGGGGGTCTTGCCCAGCAGCAGAAGACAGAGCTGGAACGAAGTAGGACAGAGGTGCTGGGGGTCATCAGGTTTGGCTGTCCCGCCCCATCCACCGGGGAGAGTGATCTCTGTGAGAAAAGGAAAACCCTGCTGAATCCTAGGTTAGCAGAACTGAGGACATCCTCACTGCAGACACCATGAAGCTGAGGTCACTTGCCACTCTGGGCGGGACCCCCAGAGCACAATGGTGTTTGCGTGTGTGGCTCTAAGACCTGGGGCACATCACCCTCTCTTTCCTAAGCCAACCGTCCTGCCACCCATGTCTGATCAGACATCTCAGTATTCTTTGAGTCCGGCAGCCCCTGAGGCTTAAACTCCGGGACAGTCACTGGTCTGGGGCCTGCCAAAGCCCTGGCCTCGTTTTGTCTTCTTGTTCTTAAATTATTTTTCACTCAGAGGGAGGGTGCCCAGACTGTCTGGGCTTCAGGGCCTCCAGCCTGGACTTGCCCCAGCTAGAGAGGGAGCAGGCTTCTGAGTGGAGGTCCGAAGGTGCCCCCAGAGCCCGTGCCAGAGGTAGCACCGAAGGAGGGACGGTGCCAGGGGCTCAGCGCAGCAGAGGCACTGTCTGTAGAGTCCAGGAATGGTGAGGAAGGATGGGGGGCTAACTGGATGGTGCGGAGGGATTGGGGTTTCCTTCCAAAGGCACTGGGGAGTCCAGAGCAGATTTAGGCAACAGACCTGCCTCACCCACTGCTGTCTCAGCGTCCTCATCATCTTCACCCACCCCCTGGGTCCTTGATATCCTTTCTTCTCCCACAAGCCAGGCACCATCCTGCCTCAGGGCTTTTTTGCACAGGCCTTGCCACCTTTCAGACACTCTTCCCGCAGATGTCCACATGATACCAGCCCTCTCTTCCTTCTGGTTTTCCCTCAGGGAAGCCTCTGGACATCGCCGCCCGCCCCCCCCCCCCCACCCCCGGCACCTTTTTCCTCCCTTTCCTGGCCTGAGTTGCGTGGCACTGGCCACCTTCTAATTATCTATGAAACGTAATGTTTACTGTGTTGACTGTCCCCTCTGCTTAACTGTTGGCCTGTGAGAATCAGTTCTGAATTCCAGCCCCTGATCAAGTGCTTAATGAAGATTTGTTGAATCAATGAATTGAATGAATGCAAAGAACACTCTGTCCTGGGCAGGTGGTGACAGGGTTGGGAGACGCACGCTGGTAGCCATCTGGCCCAGGGTGGAGTCTGTGGGAGGAAGGGGAGTTGTTGGGACCTGTGGACAGGGCCCCCAAGGCTCAGGAGGGGCCGGGACACTCCCCCCCCCCCCCCGAGGCGACTCCCAGGTCCAGGCCTGCCTCTCCCACCCCCAGGCCTGGTGGGTCCTCAGGCTGGGCCACAGTCCGCCTCCCTCCCGCTCTCAGCCACAAGCCCTGGGGCTCTGGCGGCCTGCCCAGACTGACATGCTCCCAGGGTGAGCATAAAAGATCCCCCTTCAACTGGAGCACACATCTGCCCGGGGCGGGCCGCAGCCTGGCACTGCCAACCCTACTGCCCATCTTCTCGCCACCACCTCAGGACAGAAAGCAGCCCTGCCCGCCCACCCGCCTGGCCGTAGGTCTGGCCACAGGCAAGGTGGCAGTGACCCCAGGGAGGCCAGGCCTGCCTCATGGAAGCACCGGGGTCCCCGGGGCTCGAGGCAGCCTGGTGGGGGCTCAAGATGGCCCGGCTCAGTCCCTCTCTCAAATCACCAGTGAGCACCCACCGTGTTCAGGGACAGTTACATCTCTGCTCTCATGGACCCAACATCCCAGCAGGTGGATGTGCCCACGGAACAGTGCTATGAAGGCTGGAGGCTCCCGGAGGCCAGGACGTGCCTTCTCCTCTCTGTCTCCCTCCATCACCTGCCTCTCAGGACGCCTCTCCCCCACTCTGGTTGAGCCCAGCTAGGGACGAGGGCCTAGGGGCTAGGGACCAGGGGCTAGGGCCTGTGCTCCCATGTCACTTAACACCAAGTAAGTCCCCAACCAGGCTCCTGGTCCCAGCACAGAGCCTCAGGTGTCGCCCCAGAGGTGGGGGCTGGGCCCAAGAGGCAGAGAAATGGGGCAGTCGGGTGGGACTCCCATGTGGGCATCAGTGGGAAGTGGGCAGGGACTCTGAGTTCCCCTCTATGATCCTGGGACCCACCAGCCTTACAGGAGATCCCAGCCCTCCATTGGATTTTAGGGGGTAGGTGCCATCACCAATGGGTGGCTCTTCCTGTTGGCCACAGTTTTCTTCACACGCAGGAGGCGAGAAAGACCTGGAGACTGGCCGCATGGACCCCATTTTGCCCTTCCGCACACAACACACTCCCACGGGTCTTTCCAGGGCCCTCGAATTACAAAGCCAAGGCCCTTCTGGCCTTTAAAAACATCCTTCTTATTACGGAAATTCTCACTTACAGAAAGGAAGGAGGCTGGCACGGGGGCGGTCTCGCTTCCCTGCGCCTGGCTGTGGCCTCCAGGCGGGTGAACCCTGCGCGCGGGGAAGATCCCTTGCGAAGGTGGAACGCGGCGGAGGCTCTGGTCCCCGGGGCTGGGCTCAGTGACCTTGGACGTGTCCTTCCGCCTCGCGGGCCTCAGTTTCCCTTTCTGGAACGAGGCCTGAGCAGGTCTCCAAGGCCTCAGGCCGCGTGCCCTTGGGCGGTCACCGACCCCGCGGCCTCAGTTTCCCTGGCGCGGGGGTCTGGGCGCGGCGCGCCGGGAGGGGGCGCGGGCAGAGGCGGGGCCCCCAACCCGCCCCTGCCCCTGCCCCTCCCCGGGGCCCCGCCCCCGCGGCCCCGCCCCAGCCC